CCCGCGGGCTCAGGCAATCCACTCACCTCAGCTTCCCAAAGCGCGGGATTACAGGCTGAGTCACTGAGCCCGGCGAAAAGTTTATATTTTTAAAAAACTTTGGAATATGAAATGTAATCAAGATTTGAACTGGAGATTTCTTTCTCATTAAGAGCTAAGTAAATTTGGACCAAACTCCTTATTCATGATCTCCAATATATCTGCAAATTCCCAGAAGTATAAACGCAATATAACTGCACTTACTATTTCTAGATACACTGTTGGTTTTGTTGCTTTGTTTCAAGCTTCGTTACCTATACATCACCCAGAGCCTGTACAGTTAATGAAGTGACTCATCATGTGTTTACATCCAAATACCAAGTAAATTATACTAAAAAAAGAGACTGATGTTTACATAAATCCAGGTCAGCCAGACACTCACAAGATGGGTGACTGAATACCACTTGCCCTGGTGCTCAGGCAGAGCCCAGGTTGCTGTTCAGGAAGAAACAATAAGGTAGTCATTGGGTTAGCGAGGGGAAGGAAGGCTGCTGTACTAAATGACACCTTCACACCCTACCACTCATCACTGCACAAAGAAACAAAAGCCTCACAATGTCACACACAAATCCTTTAAAACACTGCAAAACACAGGTAACACATATTCATACAATGAAGACTAGACGACAAGCTCCCCTGACACACTAGATTTTTGAAAGCTGAAAGATTAATTATAGATCAAGAAAAGAGTGGACACACATTCACAGATGAAAGGGAATCTTCTTGATAGCAATAAAAAGCCACAAATGCCTGTTCCAAGTGCCTGTGCTCACCTGGTTAATGTTAGCCAAGGGCTCCTCAGCCTGCACTAGCATTTGAGAAAACTGCAGACCTTGCTCTGGACTGATCCTCATGACACTCCTCAGCAAAAAGATCCAGTCTGGGGTATATCCAACCTAGAATCAAGGGAACACCAATCAGGAAAATAAATAAAATAAATAAAACCCTGAGACATTAGAAAGTTCTCCATTCTTCGTTTCAAACTGTCTTTACAAAGAAATAAGCAGTAACATTGACGTGTGTATGTACCAGACCCTGCCAAAGACAATATCCAATTGATTCCATGTATATGGAAGGCACAGTTAACTATACACAGCCCTAACCACAAAGAAGTTACCCCAATCTGTGTACAAGCACAGCCCATCAATGAGCATAAGAGGGCATGATCTAGAAGCCTGCCAAAACACCAAATTAACACACAGAAGGGTTCTGAGGGGGGCTGGGGAAGGAGGAAGAGAAAGAACAAGATAAAATTAAAGAAAAGCTCCCAACTAAAAAAGAGACGAGAGGACTATACAAATAAGACAGAACAATAAAAAACCAAAGAGAATAAAATATGATTACTATCAATGAATGACAGATTCTAACAACAACACTGACAATGCTTTCACACCAGAGTACTTACACAGAAGGGTATTTTATAAACTTCAGAGTCAGCAACCATCCAACCCAAATGAGTAATCTGTGAGATGCCAATGGCTCAACATGTATTACCTTTTTGGCATACAGCACAATTTTCTGGAATTGGCCTGTTTCTGCAAAACACTGGATCACTTTGCTCGGCACATTTGCCCGAAAGTACACACTCAAAGCGAGTGCAGGGTCAGCAGTTTTGACCAAATCTCCGAGCTCTTCTGAACACTCCAGCTGTGGCATGCCAAAGGACAAGGCTAAGTTAGGACTAGAGGAGGAGGCAGCCTGAGACCCAAGTGTCAAGCTGTGCTGGGGGTCGTGATCGCACAAGTGTTTCTACCTTATCTTCTTTCAGCCACTTTTCTAAGAGTTGCTTGCGCCCCTGTTGAAGAACTGGACAGCAAAGTTCTAAGGATTCAAGTTTATTGAGCTGACCCTGGTCAAGCAGGATTCCAAAGTACTGGAGCAAAGGAGAAGCCTGACCAGGCTGAGCAGGAATACTCTGGAACTTTCGAACTGTGTTGCTGGTACGCAGGATTCCCTAATAATAAATGAAAATGCAAGTCATGGTGTTGTCATCACAGGGGATTCCTTCACTCAAATTGCTTGCATATATTTTTTAAAAAATCTGGCCATTGCCTTACTAGACTCTGGTGTGGCTATGTGCTCTTTAAGCTATGACCATCACCATGTTTCCTAAGCTTTGGCCCCTTCCCTCCCTTGGGGAAGTGAACCTCCTCTCTCCCTAATTTATTTTCTGAATAAACTATATTTTGTAAGTTAAATTTTAAAAAAATCTGCCAGTGGAAATTCAACACTGAAGTGTTAGGGACAAAAAGTCTTCTACTAAGGCAACTGCTTCCACCTTCAACAATAATCATAGTATGGTGGATCTAGTTGCTATGAGGGACTTCACAATTAGAGTCTTACTTCCTCCCTAGCATGCTGTAGTGAGAATTGGACCTTATAGGAGTGAACATCTACTAACATCATATTCTAATTTAAAAATACTCAACATTCCCAAATGAAGACTAGAAATGGTTTGTTCACAACCATCACTTGAAAGATGAGAAACATTATTTAAAGGAGAAGCAACTTGGAAGTCTTTATCTACTCAGAAACAGATCCTGAAGGTAATTTATCCTATTAAAATAGACCAAAAAAAAAAAGTCATAAGCAGAACTATTATACTCCTGAAGAGTAGAGAAGTCTAGAGAAGGACTAGTGCTAAATAAAATAGGGTACAACCACCTGATGTATTTATTTGACAACTGGGAGCATATTCTGAGTCATGAAAATGCAAAACTATATCTAAGCTAAGACTGAGTAAGAAATATGCATTCACACAGACAAGAAATGGAAGACAATGAAAAAGAATGTTGATGCAGCAAGACTATGCTTTTTGTTTCTATTACTGTCATGCCATTGGCATAAACTTTTTAAACCAAAAACCAAAATTAAAAAGCCACTACCTCATCTCCACAATAAATCAAAAAATCAGCCAGGCATGGTAGCGCATGCCTGTAATTCCGGCTACTTGGAAGGCTGAGGCGGAAGGATCGCCGGAGCCCAGCAGGTCGAGGCTGTGGTGGCCGGGAGCGGCCACTGCACTCCAGTCTGGGCGACAGAGTGAGACTCCAACTAAAAAAAAAAAAAAAAAAAAAAGACCACTAACATAACACTTATCACTCCAGTATCAGTAGTGAAATGCCTATGTGACTTATTTCGCCCTCAAGGTTGGTTCTTATCACTTCAGAACACCTGAGCAGTATTCAAGCTTCCTCACCTTTGGTGCAGATGCTGCTACTTTGGCGGCTTCAGTATAGCTACCCTGTGCAAAGAGGGTACTGAATTTTCTCTCAAACAACTCCTCAGCGCCAGCTAGGTTACCACGAATGGCCAAACGGAGACCCAGGTCCGGGTTCTGAAGCACATTGGTTGCATAATTCACAATGTTTTCTTCCTCAACACAAACTGACAGCACCTGTAAGGATCCACCAAGTGAGTGCGGCCCAGCCTAGAGTACCCACATATCTTTGCTGACCATGCCCTCCCCACGTTGGAAGGGCAGCCGCGTCCTCAGGCTCATGTGAGCATGTCTGTGACAGTGGGTCTACCAGTGAAAGGATGCAGAGGAGACAAGTTCTGAATAGGAATACAGTGGCACAACATGGCACAGCAACAGCATGGATTCCATGTAGTGTTGAGAGTCATATGGACAATGACTCCAGTAATGCATTCAACACTATGCCAAAATGACCTGTTTTGACGGAACTGATCATTCTTCTTCTCAAACTCAGGGTTAGGTATACAAACGTTGATTATGCAGGTACCCTTGTTAATGAGGTATGCCCCTCTCCCACTTTTCTTCTTTTAACTATCTTTTCAACTTTGGTTGAGAAAGTAACTTAAATATTAAGGTATCTGCTTTTTTCAATCCTCCATAATCAATGTGTGCATGGCATGACAATGTGACTGTGTGTATGAGAACTGGTTTTCCACTGGTAGAAATTTCATCTAGGAAGAAACTGCTCCCTTCTCAGAATCAACCCTGCATGAGAATGGCCCTGTCTGAAGAGGGAAGGGAACAATACAAAGGAGAAGGGAAACTAGGGCAAGTTTAATAACAGTAGCTAACCTACCTGGTCACTTCCCTGGAGGAGAGGGAAAGTTTAAGCACCAGTCCCCAGTGAGTAGAAAATATCAAAAATGAAATGTCAGAGTTATATACCTGTCCTTTTTTGTTGACACCAATAATTCCAGAGGTTGGTTCATGTGGAGCAGTTACAAAGATTGTATCAGCACTAATGCGGTTCATGTAGATGCACAAACCAGACTCTAGGTCGTACATATGAAGATAGCCATATTTTGTGATCAAGTAAATAATACCATGTTTAGATCCAATCTATATAAGAAGACAGAGAACAACAGGTTGGGAAAGCAAGAAGGAAAAGGCAAGGATGCTTTTTGGTTTTTTTAGAGACAGGGTCTCGCTCTGTCACCCAGGCTGGAGTGTAGTGACATGATCATAGCTCACTGCAGTCTCAAACTCCTGTGCTTAAGTGATCCTCCTGCCTCAGCCTCCCAAGTAGCTGGAATTATAGGCATAAGCAGCCACGCCCAGCTATGAAGGGGATTCTTGAGTGTCTCAGGCCAAGAGATTATTGGTGGGAATAATGCTTCCCTGAGACATGAATTTCAAGTTCTATCCCATTGAGAACTATTTTGAAGCCAATACTTTGCCAACCACTCTCAATTAAAGGTTGAACAAAAACAGGCTAATCTATATATCCTTCAGGTAGAGCTATCCTTTTCCTAGTTTCTAACCAAACCCCATTAAGCAAACTTTGAGTTCATAAAAAAGGAAAATCCTAAATAAAGCTCCCAAACACTGAGTTCACATTCTAGCCTGCCTTCCACCACCACTTATTAACCTTTGCCAACAGCCACCAACTCTTAAAGAAAAATATTTAACATGTGGGAAAACCTGAAGGGGTTGGAAAAAGACAAATCAATTTGCCCAATTAGATTATTATAAAACATACAATAATTTTAAAAGTATACTATTAACATATAAAGAAATAGAGACAAATGGAACTTCTTAGGGGAGGGGTTGGGTCTCACTCTGTTCCCTGGGCTGGAGTGCAGTGGTACGATCATGGTTCACTGCAGCCTCAAACTTCTGGGCTCAAGTTATACTCCTGCCTCAGTCTCCCAAGTATCTGGGACTACAGACATACGCCATCGCACCTGGTTAACTTTTTTGTTTTTGTTTTTTGTAGAGATGAGGTCTTGCTATATTGCCCAGGCTGGTCTTGAACTCCTGGGCTCAAGCAATCCTCCTGCCTCAGCCCCACAAAGTGCTGGGATTACAGGTATAAGCCACCATGTCTGATTGAGACAAATGGACCTTAATTGAGAGTCCTGAAAAATGAATCATATATAAGAATTTAATAAAAATGAGCAGGTAACATGTCAGTGGAAAATAGATGCTTTAATCAATATATAATATATATTGATTAATATAATCAGCTAGTTATCTGGGGATTGGGGGAGTAAGATAAAGAAATGGGTATCTTACTCTTTAGAGCAAATTAAATTCCAATGGGTCAATTACTTATTTATTTATTTAGATGAGGTTTTGCTCTGTCACCCAAGCTGGAGTTCAGTGGCACAACCACGGTTCACTGCTGGGCTTAAGTGATCCTCTTGGCTCAGCCTTCCAAGTAGTTGGGACTACAGGCATGAACCACCACACCTGGCAAAGATATTAAATTAAAAATAACACTATTAAGAGAGCACTGGAAGGAAATATAGGTAAATATTGTGATCATCTTGGGGTACAGAATTATTTTCAAAACATGATACTACTGCATAAAAAAATGCAAAATTTCCACAAAGTGGAACACACCATTGATTATGGCTGGGAAAAATATTTGAAACACACTAGACATTGACTATTCTAGAACTCAGAGAAGTCTTAAAAATAAGATAAAGATCTCAATTTAAAAAATACAAAGATTAGAAAGGCAGCTGGGGATGTGGCTCATGCCTGTAATTCCAACACTTTGGGAGGCCAACGTGGGAGGACTGCTTGAGCCCAGGAATTTGAGACTAAGGTAACACAGTGAGACCTTGACTCTACAAAAAAACCCCCAAAATTAGCCAAGCCTGGTGGCACACTCATATAATTCCAGTTACTTGGGAGGCTGAGGTGGAAGGATCTCCTGAGCCCAAGAGATCGAGGCTCTAGTAAGCTGTTATCGTGCCACTGCTCTCAGCCTGGGTGACAGAAGGCCCTGACTCAAAAAAACAAAAAACAAAGGCAATTAACCAGATGCATATAAGTGGCTGATAAATCCATTCTACCTTGGAAAGACATGAAAACCATTGTACACTGTCCAGCTAATAAGGGAGTGCAGCAGGAATGTAAACTGGCTGGCATGATCATGAAGTCTCTGACATGCCCCGGACCCAGCAGTTTCACTGATAGGAATTTATCCTTAGACTTTAGAACTAATACACAAAGATGTCTGGATCACAACATTTCAAGAAGTGTTTGTTGTAAACATAAATACCCATTGACAGGGGCTTGTTTAAATGAATTATGGCACATCTACAGAACAGATGATGCAGACAATAAAACATATGCATGTATTTTGTTGCCACAGAATGATCTACAACATAGCTAGACAGGTTATAAAGCAGAAAGGCTAATGCAAAGCCATTTTCATAAAAGCCTATATGCGAAGTTACTTCCAAACGGGTGATCATAATTATCAACAATAGTAGGATTTCTGTTATCAAATTCTGCTTTTACATTTGTTGATAGTCTTGGAAATGTACAATGTATATTTTTATAAGACAAAATAGTAAAATGGAAAATAGATTATATAATCTTACATATATAATATGATCTCAATTTTTTCAGGAAAGGTTTATATCTATATTTTTTATATAACAAGTAGTAAGATCTTTGATAGATTTTATGTTCAACTGGCTCAACAACAAAAGACTGTTTTCTTCTTTAAATATCCTTGTATACAGTGAACATCTAATCTTTTATAACAAAAGGGAAAAGGCCTAGGACTTTGCTGCATGAGTTGGAAAGCCTCCTGCTGCCCTAACCCACCCTGATGAGGCACTCCTTTCTATGAACAGGACTCTTCCAGTTCACATATCAAAGTCCTAGCCCTCTAAATGATTTGAACACATCAAAGACCTCTGGTGGAGGGAGACAACAGAAGAGGACTGTAGATGGTGGCCTCCTGTACCTCAGGAGGTACTAGAATGAATATTTTGGGACATGACAATGTTTAGAGAGCAGCACATCTGTACCTGCATAGCCACTGGAAAATCAGTCTGTGCTTCTGGAGGGAAAAACACATCCACAGCTTTCTTTACAAAAGGTTGGTTACCTGCTGGAGGCTGTCCAACTTCGATGATGTGCAACTAGAAGAGAGAGCCTGGATCACTCCAGAGAAATACTCTTGGTGGTAGACAGATGCTAACCAAGGCACAGAGGTGAATGTCCATGCCTCAAGTCCATGTGATATATGACTAATGCTAAACTCACATTCAAACAAAGCAGTACAACACCTTTATTGGGATGCCTGTGATTACCCACTAACCTGTTACTTGCATGAAAATTAGTTCTGGCATGTCGGCAGAGTCACTTCCCCGCTCCCTGGGCCTCTATGCTGATGTCCATGAAACAAATGGTTCCAGCCAGGATCTGCTGTCCCTTCCAGCTCTGCTCTCTACCCTCCTGGACACAGTCCAGGGTCACATGGTGACAAGATCTCATCACTGAAGCCCCAACTCAAGAAACAGCCTGACCATGGCACGAGCCCAGGGTTTTTTTCAAGGTTATGCTGGGGGATGTAAGAATCTGTGTAGACTCTGGAGGAATGACTGTGAACGAAGGGGCCCATTCCTGCCTTTATCAAAACAGGTCCAAGTTTTTGACCTACATAGGTCCCTTCCAATAACTTTCATCTAAAGATACCACAGCTAAAACAAGTCTGGAGAAAAATCACAAGCAGATGTCAATGAGAAACACAAAACAACAAGGGTGAGAGGGTGGGTTTAGCAGAGGAAATGTATAAGTATATCCTTGGAGGACAGTCTAGATTTGGCCAGGCAGAGAGAGGTGGGGAAAAAAGATACCTAGAGAAGCAGAGGAGGAGCACTGAGAGATGGGCTAGGAGGGGAAGCCTAAGCAAATACACAAGCTTAGCTAAGGTGAAGCTCTGTGGGGCAGGTACTGTTCAGCTGTGTCAGTGAAGAGGTGGTCTACCCATTCTGAGGTGACAAGGTAGCAAGTTCTTTGGGTCACATAACTAATATCAGTGTTCTTATTCAGCTTAATTGGCAACAAGCCTGACATTTGACCTGACTCCTATTTTCCAACTGGTTCTCAAACTAAGGCGGATATAAAGTAAAGTATGTTACTCAACAGGAGACCAAAGTATTCAAAGAGATACTTCTTTGAAGAATATTTCAGTACTAATGAACAAGTATGTTTGATGAGTGTACTGGGATAGGTATTCTGTTTTGAAGCAGCTCTCCAAGTGACTGAGACAACACCAGCAGGACCCCACATCTCCGCGAGTCATTAACATCTCCACCTCCATACCTTTGCCCACAGCAGCCCTGCCAAACAGGTGCCAGCCACGTCCCTGAGCCTAATAAAGCTCAATTTGCTCCCAGGTATAGTCTCATCTCTCTGTAGTCTTCCTGGACCACCCCTCAATCACCTGGGTAGAACTATACCTTGGGTGACATAGGAGGCATACCTTGTGGCAAAGCTGGCACTGCCCTAATGATTTCACAGCTGTCCCCTCCATGAGACTGATCCTGAGAAATCGCCTCTCTTACGTTTAAGCCGTATCTCAGTACAATCTGCATAAGAGGATTTTTTAACGGGAAAGGGACCAATGAATCAGCAGATATCTTCAGGTTACTAATTTTATGCACAGGTTGCTGCCAAGTCACCAATGTGTGCATCAAGGTGAGTGGTTCTAAACACTGCTAACACCCTTCCTTTAACCGGCACTTGCAGGCATTCCAATGATAAACATACAGACTCCTAACACCAATTCAAGACACTCTTCTCAGGGAGAGGATCCAAATTGGAGTAGATCTTACCTTGCCTCCTGAGGGGCTACGTACAGCAAAGCAGAAAAGAGTGACAGGTTTGGCATTCCCCTCAATCTTGAACTCTGCAAAGGCGGCAGCATGGCCTTCTATGGGTTGTGAGACCTTCCTGTCCACAGAGTAGAGCTGCATGGCCCCAACCACACGGTTTTGCTAATAAAAAATATTTTGCCATGAAAAGGAGAGAAAAGAGATGAACATAAATAATTCTTAAAACGTTTCTAAAATAAAATCTCATACATTGAGAGACTACCTCTAATAAAAATTAAATCTATTATCAATTAAAGCATAATATAATACTGAATTTGATGCAAAAGACAGCAACAAGAAGACTACAAAGAAGATGATCCTAATTTATTAAATATGTGTGCCTGTTTGTGCATCTTTTCACAGAAAGTAAGTCTTATACTTTTTGAAGGAAAAACTCCAAAATATTAACAATAGTTAAATCAAGGGGGATGAGAGCATGAGGAATTTTAAAAACTGTGCTTTCTGAAACTTATAAGTAGTAAAAATTGCTAATATTATTAAATTAATAAATTTAATAATTAATTTTAAATTAATAAAACCAAGAAGACAAATACATTTTATAAAACTCAGAACTTTTATTTTTTAAAAAAACTTGAATTTTCTAGCAAAAAATGTCAGTACATTTATATCCAATGTCAAATGCTCAAAAAGCTAACATGCTCAAAAAACCAACATAAAAACATCACAGTTCAAGCCTCCTGTAATTCAACATTCAAATAACCATCTATGCCGAGTGAGCCCCCATGTAGTTTGCAGGTAAAATTCATATCCCCAGTTTACTCTCCACCTATTCACATCTCCTTAAAATGAAAAAACAAAGACTTTGACTTTTTTGGCTTTAAAAATCTTTTCTTCAACCTGAGAAAGAGGATTTAAACAAAAACAAAAATAAAACTGAACCTTCAAAACATACTAAGGGAAAGAAGCCAATCACAAAAGACTGGCTTCTTTCATACTGTCTGATTCAGAACATTCAGAATAGGGAAATCCAGAGACAGAAAGTAGATAAGTGGTTGCCGAATGCTAGAAACAGGGAGAAGTAAGGGACAGCCAACAGACAGTCTGCATTCTTCTTTTTTTTTTTTTTTTGATTGGAGGGTCTTACTCTGTCGCCCAGGCTGGAGTGCAATAGCATGATCATGGCTCACTACAGCCTTGACCTCTCGACCTCTTGGATTCAGGAGATCCTTGTCCCGCAGTCTCCTGAGTAGCTGGGGCTACAGGCATATGCCATCACATTCAGCTTACTTGTTTTTGTTTTGTAGAGATGAGGTCTTGCTATGTTGCCCAGGCTGGTCTCAAACTCCTAGGCTCAAGCAATCCTGTCTTGGCCTCCCCTACACCCAGCCAAATGATCTGTATTCTCATAGAAAAGTGAAAAAGAAAATAAAAATGAAAATCAAAAGGATGATACAAAATTCACCTTCTCCAGGAAGATATGGGAAGATTCCTAATAACACGATGACATTTATTTGAGTCCCAAGTTGGAGAAGCCTCAACTGAAACCAAGACAAAGGCAGAGCAGAGAGGACACGTGAGGTCAAGGTTAGAGATCCGGGCTCTTCTCATAGACCCAGAGGCTGCATGTGTGGCCTTGGGCCAATGGCCTGCTTCTAAGCCTTGGGTATCCAGGTAAAGCCCATCTCACGGGGCTGCTGAGTATTAAATGTGCCAAATTTGGGTAAAGGCATGTCGAGGACAGAAGCAGGCAAGGATTTAATGCACAAACACATTTTGTTGTGTTAGCCACCATGTTAGGGGCTAAGGTAAGTAAAATGATATCACACAGGTCCTTCCCTCAAGGAGAGAGAGTGAGGCTTTCTGGCAAATACACAAGCAACTGCAATACAGGATGCTGACTGCTATGATACAGGAGAGAGCAAGATACTGTGTCATCTCACCCAGACCAGTCAGTCAAAAAGGATTTTCCAAAGTGATACCAAAGCTGGAGTAAGAGCTAACCAAGTGACAGGTACTAAAGTTATTTCAAACGGAAACAGGCTTTGACAGGAGTTAGTAAACTATGTTCTCATACTTCCCCCCTGTTTTTTATGTTGAGGTGAAATTCACAAAACATAAACTTAACCATTTAAAAGTGTGTGATTAAATGGCATTTAGTACATACACAATGTTGTGCAACCAACACCTCTATATAGCTAAAAACATTTCATCACCCAAAAGAAATCCTGTGCCAATTAAACAGTCCCCAGTCCCCTGTTATGCCCATTCCCTGGCAATCACCCACCTGCCTTATGTCTCTATAGACTTACCTATTCTAAATATTTCATATAAATGCAATAATATACTATGTGACCTTTCGTGGTCTCACTTCTTTCACTTAGTAAGGTTTTGGAGGTTTATCCATTTTGTAGCATATATCAATACTTCATTCATTTTTAGGGTCGAGTAATATTCCATTGTATGCATGTACCACAATTTGTTTACCCATTCATCTGTTGGTGAACATTTGGGTTGTGCCATTATGAACATTTGTGTAAAAGTTTTTGTGTGGACACATTTTCATTTCTCTTGGGTAGATACCTAGCAGGGGAAGTGCTAGATCAAATGATGATTCTACCTTTAATTTTGAGGAACCACCAAACTGCTTTCCACAGCATCTGATCCGTTTTACATTCCCACCATTAACATATGAGGGTTCTAAATTTTTCCATATCATTGCTAACACTTGTTATTTTCCATTTTGTAAAAACTACAACCATCTAGTGGGTGTAAAGTGGTACTTCACTGTGGGTTTAAATTGTATTTTCCCGCCGTGTTCGGTGGCTCAGCCTGTAGTCCCGCGCCTTTGGGAGGCTGAGGTGAGTGGATTGCCTGAGCCCATGGGTTCTAGACCCGCCTGGGCAGGCGAGACCTCATCTCTACAATAAATTAAAAAATCAGCCGGGCATGGTAGCACATGCCTGTAATTCTGGATACTCAGAAGGCTGAGGAGGAAGGATCACTGGAGCCCAGCAGGCGAGGCTGCAGTGGCCGGGAGCGGCCACTGCACTCCAGTCTGGGTGACAGGGTGAGACTCCAACTCAAAAAAAAAATAAATTGTATTTTCCTAATTACTAATGATGTTAAGCATATTTTCATGTACTTGTTGACTATTTTGTATATCTTCTTTGGAGATATATCTTTGCCCATTTTTTAATTAGGTTGACTTTTTGTTGTTGAGTTGTATTCTTTATATATTGTGGAAAGTTGACTCTTATTAGATATATGACTTCCAAATATTATCTCTATCACTGTCTTTTCATGTTCTTGACAGCATCCTTTGATGCACAAAAGTTTTAAATTTTGATGAAGTCCAAATTATCTATTTTTTTTGTTATTCAGGCTTCTAGTGTTATATCTAAGAATCCATGCCAAACCCAAAGTCATGAAGCTTTCTCCCTATGTTTTCTTCTAAGAGTCTTATAGGTCCTCAATCTATTTTGAGCTTATTTTCATATATAGTGTGAGGTAGGTAGGTAGCCAACTCCATTCTTTTGGATGTGGATAATTAGTTGTCCCAGCAACCATGGTTGAAGAGGCTATTCTTTCTCCACTGAACAGTCTTAACATCCTTGTAAAAAAAAAAACTAATTGGCCATAGGTGTATGGACTTATTCCTGGACTCTCAATTCTCTTTCATTGGCTTACAAGTCTATCTTTATGTCCACGAGATTTTTTGTTGCTGTTAAATGTTTGGGATTTTTTGTTGTTGCTGTTGGGTAAAAGTCAGTACAGCATATACAAGTAACTTTGTGATTTATAATCTTTTTTGCTCTATATTCCTCAAACATGATGATTTCCTTGTAAAGAGGCATAATTCCCAGGGTATTTTTAAAACTTTATTGAGATATAATTCACATCTCATACAACCCATCTGTTTGAAGCATACCACTCAATGTTTTTAGTATACCCACAGGGTTGTGCAGTCATCACTATGATGTAATTTTAGAACACTTTCATCCTTTAAAAGAAACTCTAATAGCAGTCAAGCCTCATCCCCATCTCCCACATTTCACCCTCAGTCCTAAGCAACTACATATCTATTTACTATGTCTATAGATTGGTCTATACAGAACATTTCACTGGAATCGTGCAATATGTGGCCTTTTGTAAATGATGTCTTTCACTTAGTTTAATATTTCCAAGGTTCAACCGGGCTCCGTGCTGTAATTTCCAAGGTTCAGCCGGGCTCCGTTCAGCCTGTAATCCTGTGCTTTGGGAGGCTGAGGTGAGTGGATTGCCTGAGCCTGAGGGTTTGAGACCCGCCTGGGCAACTTGGCAGACCTCATCTCTACAATAAATCAAAAAATTAGCCGGGCATGGTAGTGCGAACCTTTAGTTCCTGCTACTTGGAAGGTTGAGGCGGAAGGATTGCCAGAGCCCAGCAGGTCGAGGCTGCGGTGGCTGGGAGCGTGCCACTGCACTCCAGTCTGGGCGACAGAGTGAAACTTCAACTCAAAAAAATATATATATATTTCCAAGGTTCAGTCAAATTTAGCATTATAAAAGGACATGAGTTAGTAACATTCTATTAAGTCTTTAAAATAGCACTTAAAGAATACTTCTTATAAATCTGTAAGTTCCAAGTTGCTCTATAAAATTCCTCAACAATTCACTTCTCAAAACTGTTCCAGAAATAGTTACAAAATAAACACCAATAACCAGATAGAATACAGTAGTTAATGGACTAAAGTTGAATTAAAATTATTTGATTCAAAGTTCAGATTTCTTTGTAATCTCTTTTTATTTTAGACTCAGGCATATTCTGTATTACACCTATACCAACCTCAAGTGGCTTAACCATTCTATACTACTATTAGCCTTCCAAGATAGTTCAGATCAGGCCCCAGAGGCAGCCCATGGCTTACCTGAGCAGAGATGCCAATGAGAAGCAGCCACTTTTGATGCTCATCAGTTCGGTAGTGAATCACCTGGCACCCTGCTAGGCTGGAATGTCTATCAAACATCTTCATGGGCTGGGAGTCACCGTCCATGTTCCAGTGGTAGACTGTGGTCTCAGTCACCAAGGCAACAGTGTTCATAGAAATCCATTTCCAAAAAACCACCTCTTCTGCCACAGTATGAGCCTTCAGTTTACTCTTCATCTCAATATTAAAGATTTGAAGTGTCTTCCCAGCTAGTATATGATAGAAATAAGAGAAAGTTAAATTACAAATCTGAAAGACAGATTCCTATACTCTTAATTCTGAATCCTTTTAATAGTACTATAGGTTGTACTACTTAAAGCTAATCTGATTAACGGAGGGAAAAGCTGCCTGAGTAATAATTAACAATATTTGATGTTAAAACATTGAGAGGCACCTCACATACATTAGAGTTTGTTTCAGAAGAAGGTAAAAGTGTGTGAACACTTATAGAATGTAGGAATAACAATTAGAAATTAGTTTCACTGAAGCAAATCTAAAGAGAAACAGTTTTAGACTGGTTTCTTCTAGTTATAAAATACTTTTCTAAATAAACCAGCAAGAACATAAGATATCCTTTCTGTGTGTTGTCTCCCACTTTCAGGAAAGAACACAACCATCCCTTCACATTAAACTAACTTCACCACAAAACAGGGTTGCTATGTCTTAAATTCTAGACCAGTGCATCAGATATAATTTTCTGCAACGTTGGAAATGTTCTATATTTGCATCTATTATAGTAAGATAATCACTAGATGTGGCTATTAAACACTTAATATATATCTAGCAAGACACACTTCAGGAACTAAATTTTTACTTTTATGTAATTTTTTTTTTTTGAGTTAGAGTCTCACTCTGTCACCCAGACTGGAGTGCAGTAGCCACTCCTGGCCACCGCAGCCTCGACCTGCTGGGCTCCGGTGATCCTTCCGCCTCAGCCTTCCAAGTAGCTGGAACTACAGGTGCGCGCTACCATGCCCGGCTGAGTTTTCTTGATTTATTGTAGAGATGAGGTCTCGCCAAGTTGCCCAGGTGGGTCTTGAACCCATGGGCTCAGGCAATCCAATCACCTCAGTCTCCCAAGGCGCAGGATTACAGGTTGAGCCACCGAGCCTGGCTTCTTTTATCTAATTTTAATTGAAATTTAAACAGCCTCATGTCCAATAGGACAGCACAACACTAGACAAAGGTTAGGCATCCATCCTCTGGCAAGAGATTCATATTGTTTCTGTAGCCAAGAGATGAGTTTAGATTTTTAAATCTATACAAAATTTAGAGCTAAAATGAAATGTCAAAATATTGCTTCCCACTAGGATTCAGAACAAGGCAAAGATTATTTTTCTAATCCTTTTTTTTTTTTTTTTGACACTGTACTGGAAAACACTGCCAGTGTGATAAGGTAAGAAAAGTAAAAGGCAAAAAGATAAAAAAAAAAGAAGCAAGCCTATCTTTATTCAAAGACAACATAATTATTTACAAAGAAAATCCTACAGACTCTAAAAATGTACAAAACAACTATTAAAACTAATAGGTGGGGCAACCCCCTTGGGTCCCCTCCCACTGTGAGAGCTTTTCTGTCCTCTCAATGAATCCTGCAAAACAAAACAAAAACTAATAGGTGATTATACCAATTATATCAATGCTGTAAGATACAAAAATATTTATTAAATGTTGAGATACTAGCAGCAAACGATTTGGAAATAAAATATAAAAAAATTTATAACACCAAGAAAAAATAGAACAATTACAAATAAATTTAACAAAAGATAAGCAAAGTCTCCACACCATAAACTATAAAACATTCCTGACAGAAACTAAAGGCTTTACAAAAAGACATACCATGTTCATGAATCAGAACATTTAAGATCATTAACATGTAATTTTCCTCCAAATTGATCTATAGGTTCAATGCAATCCCAATCAGAATACCAGCACCTGTTTGTTTGGTAAAAAATAAATTAATGCTAAAATATATATGGAAATGCAGAGGACAGAGATTAGCTGTAAAAATTTTAGAAAAGAACAAAGCTGGAAGACTGACAAAAATTGACTTTAATACTATAAAGCTATTAATAAAATCTGTGTTATTGCTATAAGATATAACTCATTGAATCAATGAAAGAAGAGAGTCCAGAAATAGCTACATGTACCTAGGGTGAACTGATTTGACAAAGGTGCCCAAAAAACCTCAACCGGCCCAAACAAATTTTTTACAGAAATAGAAAAATCCATCCTAAAATTTATATGAACTCTCAGAGGACATCAAATTGCCAAAATAATCTGAAAAAAGATGAACAAAGTTGAAGATTTCACACTTCCCAATTTTAAAACTAATTATAAAGTTACAGTAAGCAAAATAATATGGTAAGAACATAAAGACAGCCAGGCTCGGTGGCTCAGCCTGTAATCCCACGCCTTTGGGAGGCTGAGGTGAGTGGACTGCCTGAGCCAGAGGGTTCGAGACCCGCCTGGGCAACTTGGCGAGACCTCATCTCTACAATAAATCAAAAATCAGCCGGGCGTGGTAGCACGCGCCTGTAGTTCCGGCTACTCGGAAGGCTGAGGCGGAAGGATCGCCGGAGCCCAGCAGGTTGAGGCTGCGGTGGCCGGGAGTGGCCACTGCACTCCAGTCTGGGTGACAGAGTGAGACTCCAACTCAAACAAAAAAAAGAACATAAAGACATAGAAGAGAGCATTCAGAATGAACATTCATGATCAAGTGATTTTTGATAAGGATGCTAAGACCATTAAATGAGGAAAGAACACTGTTTCCAACAAATGATGCTGAGAAAACAAAATATCCACAATGCAAAAGAATAAAACTGGACCCTTACCTTATATTACATACAAAAATAAACTAAAAGAATCAAGGAACTAAACATTAAAAACTAAACCCATAAACCTTTTAGAGGAAAACACAGGAGAAGAGTTTCATGACATTGAATTTGGTAATTTTTAAAAAATATGACAAGAAAAGTATAGGCAACAAAAGAAAAAAGAATGAAATGGATGCACAGAGGACACAAAAGAATGAAAAAGCAACCTAAAAATGGGAGAAAATACAGGCATACCACATTTTATTGTACTTTGCTTTATTGTGCCTTGCAGATAATGCTTTTTTTTTTTTAAAGAAATTGAAGCCTTGTGGCAATCTTTCATCAAGCAAATCTATCAATGCATGTGCTCATTTTGTGTCTCTCTGTCACATTTTGGTAATTTTCACAATATTTCAAACATTTTCATTATAGTATTATATATGTTATGCTGATCTGTAATCAGGAACTTTTGATGTTACTATTGTAATTGTTTAAGGGTACCACGAACCATACCCATAAAAGACAGCAAACTTAATAAATTTGTATGTTCTGACTGCTCCACTGACTGGCTGTTCCCCTATCTTTCTCCTTTTCCTCAAATCTCCCTATTACTTGAGACACAACGATATTAAAGTTAGGCCAGTTAATAACCTTACAATGGCTTCTAAGTATTCAAGTGAAAGGAAGAGTCATATGTTTCTCACTTTAAATCAAAAGCTAGAAATGATTAAGCTTAGTGAAGAAGGCAACTCGAAAGCATGTTCAAAGCTAGGTCTCCTACATCAAACAGTTAGCTGAGTTGTAAATGCAAGGGAAAAGTTCTTGAAGGAAATTAAAAGTGCTACTCCGGTGAACACATTGAATGGTAAGAAAGTGAAACAGCCTTAATGCTGATATGGAGAATGTTTGAGTGGTCTGGATAGAAGATCAAACCAGTCACAATATTCTCTTAAGCCAAAGCCTAACCCAGAGCAAGGCCCTAACTCTCTTTAATTCCGTGATGGCTGAAAGAGGTGAGGAAGCTGCAGGAGAAAATTTGGAAGCTAACAGAGGTTGGTTCATGAGGTTTAAGGAAAGAAGCCATCTCCATAACATAAAAGTGCTAGGTGAAGCAGCAAAAGTCAATACAGAAGCTGGAAGAAGTTATCTGGAAGATCAACTGTTGATAAAGGTGTTTACACTAAAAAACAGATTTTCAATGCAGAAGAAACAGACTTCAACTAGAAGATGCCATCTAGGACTTTTATAGTTAGAGAAGAGAAGTGAATGCCTCGTTTCAAAGTTTCAAAAGACAAGCTGTCTCTCTTGCTAGTGGTTAATGCAGTCGGTGACTTCAAGTGCAAGCCAGTACTCATTTACCATTCTAAAACCCTAGGGCCCTTTAGAATTATACCAGGCATGGTTGTTTCATTTACAGAGCACTGTGCATGTGCTATCAGCACATGTGCTCATCTTGTGTCTCTGTCATATTTTGGTAGTTTTCACAGTATTTCAAACATTTTCATTATTATTATTATATATGTTACGCTGATCTGTAATCACGAACTTTTGATGTTACTACTGTAATTGTTTTGGGGCACCAAAACAATTGGATGACAGCACATCTGTTTATAGAATGGTTTACTAAACACCTTAACCTCACTGTAGTACAACACCCAACTGCTGAGACCTTCTGTTCAGAAAAAAAAAGATTCCTTTCAAAAGAATACTGCTCACTGACAATGCATCTAGTCACCCAAGGGCTATGATGGAGCTGTATAAGGAGATGAATATCGTCTTCACGCCTGTGAACACAACATCCATTCTGCAGCCCATACATCAAAAGGTAATTTCAACTTTCAAATTTATTTATTTTTAAAACATTTTATTTTATTCTTTTTGAGTCGGAGTCTCACTCTGTCACCTGGGTTGTAGTGCAGTGGCATGCTTATGGCCACTGCAGTACTGACCTGCTGGGCTCAGGAGATCCTTCTGCCTCAGTCTTCCAATAGCTGGAACTATAGTATGCACCAACACAACTGGCTAATTTTTTGATTTATTGTAAAGACGAGGTCTCATCAAGTTGTTCAGGCTGGTCTCGAACCCCTGAGATCAGGCAATCCTCTCACCTCCGCCTCTCAAAGTGCTGGGATTACAGACAGGCATTAGCCACTGCACCTGGCTTAAATGTTTTTTAGTCGAGGTCTCACTCTGTCTCCCAGGCTGCAGTGCAGTGGCACCATCACTGCTTACCACAACCTCAACTTCAGAGGCTCTGACGATCCTTCTGCCTCAGTCTCCCAAGTAGCTGAGACTACAGGCGTGTGCCACCACATCCAGCTAATATTTTGATTTTTTGTAGAGACAAGGTCTTGCTGTGTTGCCTAGGTTGGTCTCAAACTCCTGGGCTAAAGCAA